TTTTTTCGGGTTATTGTTCACTGGTTTTGGGTTTTTGATTGATTTGTGGTTAAGTTTTTATGTTTTTTCTAAATGTATGGGTAATTGAGTTGTGGTTTTAGTGCTGTTTTATTAATACGGTTTTTTTTGTGGGGACTGGTAGGCGTTGGACAGGCAGTTGAAGCGATCGGCGATGGACGCACTGTACGCCCAGAAGAACGAAGAGTTGCAGAAAAAGATTCAACAGAAACACGACGAAAGCGCACGAAGACATGAGGAGAGTTTGGCGCAAATCCGTCAGAAAGCACTGGAGCTGTCCGTCCGCAAGTCCTCGACCGTTGGCAACGACGACGCGCCGGTATGCGAGCCGTACGACACCTGCAAAATGTGTCAGTTGTGTCAAGTGATGATCAAATCGGAGGTGTTTTTGTTCGGACACTTGAGAGGTATGTCTGCCGGGGGTTTGGGTTTGATTTAGCGATTAATTATGTGGTTTTTGATGGACAGGTAAGCGACACAACGCCGCCATATGCGAGCAAAACGGTGGTAAAGTGCCCACGAATGAGGAGTTGGAGAACTTTAACGTGAAATACATAGTGGAGGCGCCGGTAGACGCGGACAAGAAGTCCATTCAGAGCTGCGATAACGAGAGACTGAAAGCCGCGCGTAAGAGGAGTAAGAAATTGAGGCAACGATTGGCCGCAAAAGCGGTTCAATTCGAGCAAAATGTCGGCCAAAAGGGTTCACAACCGGCGCTGTCGTCCAAAAGCATTCAATCCGTGAATAAGAATAAGATTTCGAAGATTTTTAAGGTTTGTATCGGTTTTTGGATTTGATTTTTCACTGTTTGTTGAGTTTTACGAACTTTTTCTAATGATTTTACGGTTTGTTTAGTGTATTTAAAGTGAGTTTTAAATTGATTTTTAAAAATGTTTTATTAATGTGTAGGACTTGTCGACACTGAGCGCCGACACCCAAATCACGGGCCACTGGCCCTCGAATATGACCCACAGTTTGGAGCGGAATCTGAATGAATTGGAAAAACTTTTTCGCGGGAAAGGCGTCACGGATTCGCTGTATTTCCACTCATTAAACGGCACCCAATTGTTGACCAAAATGTTGTCCCGTATTACGAACGGCACGAAAGAGAGGCCGACGTCCCTAACGGACCGCTCGAACGCCAAGTTGGCCGCCGTTTACGAACTGGTATGCAGTCAGCACTGGGATGTCAGCGACTATGTCCTGCAGTCCAACCTCATGATGGAGTTGTTGGACATACTGTGCCATCGGATTAACGTATGAGTTATTAGTTTTTAGTGATTNACCACTTGTTATAGACTTTAGCATTGATTACACCACTAATCCTATGTCTGGTGCGGTGATGGACAGGGAGGTCGCGGGACGTGGAGCTGAGGTGCAGATACTGGGCCTTCCTATTCGATAACCTGAACCGCGCGGTGGACGAGATCTACCAGAACTGCGAGTCGGACGAGTCGGTGGTGGAGTGCAAGGAGACGCTCATGGTTTTGGACAACTATAGGCGCGAATTCACGGCACTTATCGAGTGGCTCAACCTCAAGAGCGACTACGAGTCCACACCGCAGAGGGACAGACCCTCGTCACTGGCCTGGGAGGTCAGGACCTCCATGACCTCCAATCAGATGATCTATTGGAACAGGTTTTTCGGCAGGAATTGTGAGTTTTTTATTTGTCACGATTTTGATGATTTTGTGGTGATTTTTGTGATAATTTATGGTGTCTTTCGCAGCCGAAGTGACCACTAATAGCGTGAATACATCGCCGCAGAAGTCGTTGAATACGACCAATAAAACTAAGGATCAGATGAATGGCGGCGAAGAGAAGGAGAATAATTCGCCGGAACCGGTGGTCAACAAAGACACCAATGGATCAGTTGCTGACAATAATGTCAAACCGGTGGCGCCGTCCGTGAGAAGGATTGCCGAAGAGTCCGATGCAAAGCCTATTGTCTCGCCTAAGGCTACGATCAAGTCTTCGGTGTCCACTCCAACGCTCAATACAGTCACCACTTCCTCGACGTCGAAGCCATTGAAGTGAGTTTTGGGTGACTTTTAAGACAATATTTGTGTCATTAATGTGTGATTACTTTCCGGACAGTCCATTGGCTCAGACATTCAAATCTCGTTTACATCCGATGGCGCCGACCAGTACGACAGCGCCGGCACCTAAGGCCGTGTCCACCGCAGCACCGGCTGCTCAGCAGAAGCCCATACTCATAGTGCCGACTACTGCCGCCACCGCCGCCCCCACTGTTAAGAAGTCTACGTCACAGACAATAGTCTCTGAGAACAAGTCGGCGCCTAAACCGGTGTCCACTCAACAGACCACTGCCCTGAAGACCAGTTCCGCACCGATCACTACAACAAATCTCAAGCGCACAGTCGTCTCGACACCCAATCTATCTGTAATTAATGGTAATCACAATACCGGTGCGAATAATAGTAACAATAATCGCAATAATAATGGGAATAATACTCAACGGAGAGTGGAGTCGAAGGGAACGGTAGGTTCGGTGATGAATAAGTCGTTCGCCAGAGAGACCAATGCCTCGAGAGCTAAAAGCGTGCGAAACACCGATAGTAACAATAATAGTAGGAATGAGTGGAAAGGCCTACAGAGGAGTCAGTCAAACATACTGTCCACTCGTAGTACGAATGTTAGACAAAATACCAATAATAAGACAAATAGTAATCAATTGATTGTAAATAACAATAAGACTAAGAAAGTGAAGGACGCGGACGGGTGGGAAGTGGTGGGCAGTCGGGGCCGCCAGAGGTTTAAGGTGTCGCCGCCTAAAGTGATTATCTTAGAGGACGACTCAGTGGTCAAGACGACGGCCGACGGAACGGTATACGCGGTGACGGCGTCCGTGCAGACCACTGACGGCTGGGACCCCATGACGTTGAGCGGCTCCTGGAGTAGTGGCGGGGCGGGTATGGACTCGAGTACGGAGGGGTTGCGGACCCCCGGGAGGGCGTTGAAGATTCACGAGAAGCTGTCATCCCCCTCGAGGAAGCGGAATGTGTCGCCCACGGAGTCTATTAAGAAACACGAGGAGAAGTTAGCCAAAGCACAGGAGGCCAGGGAGAAGCTCCTGGAGGAAAGGGCGCAGAAGTTTCAGGGTATCATCAAAAAGGTGTGTATTGTTGAGATGTTTGTAGGCTTTCCCTTTTGTGAGCTAATTGGCGTTTAATCTCCGAATAAATGTTTAGTTTTGGTTTTTAGTTTGAAATTTGTTTTGGGAATTGGTTTTGAGATTTAGATATTTATCAATTTTATGGATTAATTGATTAGTTATTTGAGTGAATGTTAATTGAATTAATGAATGAAATGATAAATAGTATTGAAAACTATTGTGTTTATGTATTGCTTATGGTTTAAGTCTATTAGAGAAAGTAATGTAGAAATTGTTAGCTTTAATTCACAATTTTTTATTAGCCTTACAAATAGCGTAGAAATAGTTGTTGTGAATTGATAGCTAATTATCCATTGACTGCTCCGTCGGACGGATAGGCAGAGGAGATGAAGGCGTGGAAAGAGGAACAACAGCTGCAAATGAAGGCGTCGATGGAACTGAAGCATCAAAGAGCCGAAGAGAAACGCCAGCAACAGCTCAACCGAATCGTACGGAAAGCACACGACGAGGACTCGAAGGTAAACGAGATTCAGTTCATCAACTCATTGGAGGCCCAGAACAAGAAGTACGACATTTTGAGCCGCGAGAAGGACCGGGAGATGCGGT